CCTCTCAGATGACATAGAACATCAGTTGTCCTAGCTCTTCTGATTTTTGTGAGTGTGAGTGTGTGAGTGTGAGTGTGTGTGTGTGTGTGTGTGTGTGTGTGTGTGTGTGTGTGTGTGTGTGTGTGTGTGTGTGTGTGTGTGTGTGTGTGTGTGTGTGTGTGTGTGGTGTGTGTGTGTGGTGTGTGTGTTTGTGTGTGTGTTGTGTTGTGTGTGTGTGTGTGTGTGTGTGTGTGTGTGTGTGTGTGTGTGTGTGTGTGTGTGTGTGTGTGTGTGTGTGAAATATTTTTTCACCAAAATTGATAACGGTTATAGGGTCATAATGACAAACTTCTATTAAGTTCAATGTATAATTATCTTTATATGTTTAAAGTATATATCCTTTTACAGGTTTTTAGGAATCAAAGTTTTGAAAGTTATTATCACAAAGACAAGCATGGTTGAAGTACATTGATTTCATCAGTACTTTTTATTGATGATTTCTTGGTACATAAAAATAATGTAAATATTTTTCCCCTTCCTCCCAGACTTGTGAATTCAGTTAAGTATGTGGGAATGATTAAAGAATTGATATGGATTATACTTGTGTAATGATAGCAGGCTATTTCTCCCTTCCATACATTAGAAGACTCTGAATTTTCCAAGTTAATTTCCTTCCTCATGTTGTTCCGCAACAGGTCTTGAACGCGAATTTCTGAGCGAGGGTGGAGAGAAAGGCACAAGTGGAAGAATCAAAAGCCCCCCGACACCATCTCCTCTGGTACAACAGATCCTTGGTGGCGGCATGAGCAAGGTCTCATCGGCAACAACACCCCTACAGTCACTCGCCCCAGAAGTCCGACTCGTAGTAGAGCAGCTCCCCGACTTAGGTTTTATGCGTAGCAGAGTACTTATGTTCCCAATTAGAGGCGAGCAGTGATGGGGTCTCTTTATCTTTGTGATCCAATTTGGTCAAATAGGAATTTTAATAGAATTGTGTATAGGTAATTCTTCACTGAAACATATTGTGCCATGTTTTGAAAATGGCATTAAAAGAAAAATGTCTTGAGTTGTCATTTTTTCAATTATTTTCCTTTTATTTTTATTAATTTATTTATCTTTTTTTTATTTCACTTTAGGCGGTTCAGAAGTAGATGGAAACTTGTTTTTCATCCTAAAAAGATGTGTATTTTCCATCTTGTAATCGTCTTGGAAATAAGTTTTGAAATAATAGGATCTCAAAATTTTAACATGAAAATAAAAAAAAAGAATGAAAAGATGTGTTTCTGTTTGAGGCTATGAACAAAAATGGTCTGCCTTTTTATCTAAAAACTTGTACATTTTGTGTGTGTATACAAGTACATGCATATGTATGTGTATGGATATACCAACATGTATATGAATATATTTGAAGGTAAAGGTATAATTAATGTATATACAGGTACATGATCTTTTTCTTGCCTTTTTATATACATGTACATGTGAATGATCACATAAATGTTTATGTATATGTATGGATATGCATGTATATATTTCTAAGCATAAAGATGTATATGTGTATGTATGTATGTGCATGTATGTATATTTGTTTATATATACACATGTATATTTGTTTGTTTATATATACACATATGAATCCATGTTTATATATATACACATATATATCTTTGTTTATATATATATACACATGTGTATGTATTTTTATATATATATACGTGTGTGTGTGCGCGTGCGTGCGTATGCATATGCGTGTGTAACACACATGCATGTGTGGACATTATAGTGCACATGCAATTGCATTTTATATATATATATATATATATATATATATATATATAATATATATATTATATTATATTTATATATATATACACATACGCACACATACACATACATACATACATATACACACACATACACACACATAGATGCACATACATGTTGCCATGTGTACATATATATTTACATTTGTATGTGTATGTACATAGATATGTCTTAAATGAATATATCATTATATATATTATATATATGCTAAGAAATTTATTTGTTTAACAAACAACAATACCAGTATCTCGCATGCTAATTAGTTATTGCCTCGACACAGTCATATCCAAGAAAATAAAGGAAAACATCACCTTCTTCCGAGGTGTATGCACAGCTTGCAACTGAAGTGAAAGTATGTAATAATCATATCTTGCAACTGCATTACTGTAACTTCACATCATTGGGAGGTTAACCAGATAACTTGTGCATGTTTGCAGGATCTAGCAGTTGACGTGCACTTTTTTAAAAGATTAAAGGTTAAAAAGTTTTCAATTTATACTTGCACTTTTCTGAAGATGTTAAGGAGATGAGGGAGCATGGATTTTAGTGTTGCTTGGTATTTATCTGGTGAGATGGAAATAGTAAAGATTTAAAGAGTGAAATTCTGTCGTGAATGTAATATCTTGTGTGAATGGTGGTTTTACACATGTAGTTTTGTGGAAGTTCTATTTATTACAAAGTGGTTATACAAACAATAATTTTAGTATTTTTAAAGGTTATGTATGCAGACAGATGTTAGGTTTTTATTTTTATGTGTGAGAGTTATGTAAGTGCTTTCCTTTTGGTGAGACTCCTTTGTACTATAAAATGTCATTTTATTATTAACCAAAGATATAATTTGTGATTTTAATATTAGTGAAGTGACTTTTTTTTTTTTTTTTTTTTTTTTTTTTACTAGGAAAGTTGTTTCTACTATGTAACATTCCATTATTTCCCAGGAAAAGAGGGTTTGCTTTATAGTGATGAATGTGGTGGTTATGTACCATAAAACCCTGAAATATATGATGAAACTGCTGAATATTGTCATAATGTTTTAAAATCAAACTTGCAAACATTTTCTTCATTTTTATTCACCTTTTTAACTATTGTAAAGTACAAATGCATAATATAAACTAATTTATACATTTGCAACTTATACAGTCACAGATACATCCATTACAGTCATACATGACAAGGTAAAACAAGAGCTAATAACAAGGTAGAAAAACCCACTGAACTAATACATGTTGACTTCCGGATGATTCTTCATTACTTGTGATATTGGTGCATAATCTTGCTTATATGCAACTTCCTCTATATAATGTTTATCCTGACTACAGCTGTTCTTGCAAGAATAAACCACCACTGTTCCCCAATCAATACTCTGGCCTGGACTATCAACCTTAAGATGTACCAGTAACTGTGGCATAATCTGAAAGGAATTGGAATAATGTATAAATATTAATGGCCCTTTCTACATTACCTTCAATTTTTCATACTATACTTCTTCAGCCTATATCTTGTATACATTTAATAAGTGCTCTTTATTTATTCAAAGTTGAGAAATTTATGTATGAAGCTATCAATGACGTCACCACAGCCCCAGTTAGCTATACATTTTGAGAAGCAATTTATATAATAACAAAACATTCTCTAGTTCTTAATTCCATACCTGAAACTCAAATTCTCTTGCCTCCCCACATCCTGGGCAAGGTGGAATATCCTGGGGTTTGTTTTCCGATGATACCCACAAAGGCTCTCCTGCACGGTCATAGCGTATAACCTGAGGAGAGGTTGCCGTCATAAATGGCAATATTTAAAACCTACAAAAAAAATTATCACATACCTAATACTATTCAAAACTGAAAAGTTGAGCTAACTCCTGACCCATATTTTGGGACAAAAAAAAAGCTATAGTTCTTCACATATTTGAATCTTCTACCCATACTCAAACTTTTTGTAAATATTTTAAACATATTCAAAATTACATCTACTTTTCTTGCAAATCTATCCTACATCTAGAAGTATTCACCTGGTCAGAATATTCCTTAATTCGTGTGCGGAATTTCTGGAACTGCTTGTCAGTTTCCTTAGTGGCCATCTTAATAAGGTCATCCTCATTCTTTTCAACATCTGATAAGAAATAAATATTAACATTAGAACATTGCAGGACTTACTCAGTATGGACTCGATGAATGAATGGTTCTTTTAATGGTTAAGCAGTAAATACATGAAAATAACAATCATTCACAACTTAATCTAGACTGTCTAATTAGTTCAATTTGCCAGTGAACATTCATCTAAATGACCTCTATACTTTCTCTGATATGCAATATATATATTTTTTAAAAATTGAGTAAACAGATAATAGCAGCTAATATGGAGAGTAAAAAATATTAATTGCTAAAACAACTCTTACATTATCTATCTTCTATTAACTGCATTACTGTAACTTCAACAGGCTGAAAATGTGGAGCTTTAAAGCTGACATAGAAAGGCAATCTGAAAGTTCTAGGTAATTAAAAGTTTCTTACCGTCATCGAGGTCTCTTGTTACTCTGCCAGACCTTAATAAAGCTTCATACTCTTGCATTACTTCTTCTTCTGTCTTTTCCCTCCGCTCGTCAAGTTCCTCTGGTTCCATGTCTATTTCATACTCGGGGAAAAGAAATTTGGCATTTCCCTTGCACGACACCTTGCTTACAGTTTCTGTTGAATGGAAAGATCACTTTTTCTACTTTTACATACAAGCTTATGATGAGTGTCCTATTCCATATTACTAATAACCCAATATTACCACAAAGCTCTCAGAACACATTGGACACTGCCAACCTAGATTAATAAAGTTGTATGGTGGAAAAAAAAAGAAAAGAAAAGAGAGAGAGAAAAAAAAAATCAGTAGTGCTGGGTCCTTTTTCCCTCCCACTTGTTTTTTTAATTCTGGACATGCTAATTATTGTTTTTCAATAAATGCACTAGACAAAGTTTTAAGCTGACTTCAGAAGGTTGTAGCTCAAGAACTGACTACTAGAGCTACAGATGTCCAAACCTATATAATGTACAGAATATATAAGTCTCTCCATTATCATGACATGAATAGGCATTATCTGGAATTCAGGTCAATCCTCACCATGAGAGTATAGATGCCACCTGTCATCACTGGGTTAATAAATACGTGAATGATTTTGTAAAAGCCACAAGAAATAGACAAGACTCAGCACCGATACCAGTACCATGTATTATTACCTGGTTTCTTGCACTCTTCCCTGTGGCCAGCTTTCCAGTCTAGTGCTTGATGGTCCTTGGAACAATAACGAGCAACTTTGCAGCCTCCACACACCTGGTGATGTAAACTGAATAAGCAACTCATATTACATTATAAATGTATCTCTACATACATACTCAGTAAAACAGTGAAAGTTGTATGTAAAGTGAAGATACTACACTTCAGAGAAATGAAAATTATAAAAGCATCATCTAATCTGAAATAGTATTTCACAAACAGTATCACCAAGAAAATGATGCCATGAGGATCAGTGAAAGAGTACCTTTGGTCCACATCCGCCACAAACTCTGCAGAGATTGTTGAAATCTGCAGCTCCTGGACTCTCTGAGCCAGGTTCAACATCCTGAAGAAATAATATTAAAGAATTATAAAGTTCACCTGATGATATAAAAAACAAAATCAAATTTCAATAAAATATCTGAATCTGGGTGATGTGACCACCATGTCATGAAAAAATTTGGCATAGGCCTAGGTGACAGGAATATGACATCATGGAAAGGGCCAGAGTTGTGGACTACTTAGAGACAATAATGATACTTATAGCACAACAAATAACAAAGACATAAAAAAAAAAAAAAAAAAAATGAAGAAAAAGAAATAACTTTGCAAAGGGGAGGCAAGGAGTCTCCCCACACATGAATGTCTGTAGGGGCTAGGACTACAAGCAACATATATGGGAGAGTTGAAACTTAAATAAACCTGTTATCCAAATTTTGGTCAGCATGTGGCCCACAAGACACCCAGATCCAACTGGTTTATAGTAATTGCCAAATGCAAATGTAGCTTTAATAATCTTCAGTCTGTTTGGAGAAAGATGTCTCATGCCAAAGGATTAGTATAAGGTATTCTTTCTTTATGTCTTTAATTTGAATCATACTTACTTTCGCTGGGTCAGGGGGATAAAATTCATTATCCCTCCGTAATTGTGATCTAAAAACTCGAATGTTCGAAGCATTATTTTCTTTACTACAATCTGCATCCCGACAGATGAACACAAA